TTGGCTGCAGCAGAATCTAAGAGCGCGGTATTGATATCGAATTAGGTCGGATTATCGAACACGCTCGAATAATCACAGAAAACTCGTATAAAACGGACTAAAATAATGATCGCGCGGGCGAGATGAGCACGGTATCGTGCTTCTAATTAAAGACAAACGATACATCGTCTCCTCTCGACGGCAGCCGCTCGATCCTAGCTGACAAACGACGACGGTGATTCGAGTAATGATTCGTGCGGGATGTCCGTGTAAGTCGTAAAGTTCACACGAGCCTCGTCGAATCGCATAAATCCCGCCGCTCGGACGGGACAGCGGGGGAGGAGGGAGGGAGGGAGGGAGGATGATAGCGCGAGCGGGGCGGGAGCGAGTTGTGGGGTGGAAAGTGAAAGATGAGGGAAAGTAAGACGAATGCCGGGCCGGCGAGAAAGAAACGAGCGATTTCGAGTCTTGCCGGAGAGCAAAGACGGCATCGCGGTCCTCCGCTATATTAGCAAAGTTTTATGACGTATGTAGCCGCGACGTGCCGTCGCTGGGGGAAAATGCAAGTTTCCGTTTTCCCGCCCGCCCGCCGGCCGTTCTACAGTGCAGTCCATTGCCGCTGCCACCGCCGCTACGAGTCCCTCGGGTTTACGGACACGGCGAGTCGGAGGTTGAGATGACGTTGGGGACGGACCGCGGGCCGACTGCCAGAGAAACTTGCGCGAATCTGGAAATTTTGAGAATCGCTTCGTGCCGCAAGGTTCGAGCCGGTCCGACGTCTCAGTCGCCGCCGGAGTAATCGACGTGTGTGGAACTAGCGAGCGATCTGATACTTTGGTTAGCGAATATTCTTATAACTAGCGATTGTTTGGGGCAATGTTGCGGGCAAGTCTATTTTTTGTCTAATTATTCGGTCAATTGACAAGTTCGGTTCGGTGGCACACTAGGAAAAAAAATTTAGTATCTCTAACAAAACTGTTTAGTTGAGGCATTTTTTAATAGCAACCAAATATCTTGTTTTATATAACAAAATATTTAGTTGTCTCAACTAAATATATTTGTTCTCTGGACCATGATTTTGTTCTTAGACTTCATATATAAAAATTAAGCATTTTAGTTATTTTGTCCATAAAAATTATATAATAACGAAATATTATTTTACATAAACTAAAATAATGCCCAATGGATACTGTTTTGTCTTTCTGTGCACTAAAATTTAGATTTTATATATTAAGAAAAAATTATAGTATTTTTAACAAAATTCATATAGTTAAAGCTTTTTGGTTGCTGTAACAAAAGTATTACGTTATACGAACAAATCGTAATCAAACAAGATATTTGTTTACAGGAACTAAACAGTTTTGTTGGGCATATTTTAACCAAATTATTTTGTTGTTACAACAAAATTTTGGTTCACGCAATAACACATTTTTCCTAGTGCACGTCGGTCATTTTCTGCGAGAGAGATAAGTGAATGTTGATGGGACGTCGGTGATGGACAATCACTTGGCTGAACGAACAATTTGTTTCCACTATCGGAAGCGAAATTGAATTGGACTTAAAAGTCGAAGTGAATCTCCTGATGATCTGACTCGCGCGGAACTTGACACAGAAATGACTTAAACCGAATCTCACGCCCTTCGAAATAACCGAGTAGAGAACATACAGAAATCTTCCGGTGCAGCCAAAATTAGTCGCAATCGTCCTCTCGTAAAAGCACTATCGCCATCATAAAGTCCCTTAGCGTTGATATATCACGTCCTCTCTGATTTGATCAGCAGTAAAGATATCACGTTGTTCATAGTGCGACTTAAACAGGCTCTTTAGTCCCGGAGAAGTTTAAAACGCCCGGCAAGACTCGTGGCGGTCTCGCGAATTTAATTATCCGTTCAATTAAATCCAAAGATCGAACGCTGCGACAAAGAATTAAGAGCGCACGGGATACAGTTGCAAAAAATGCAATAGGAAAGTTGAATTATCCATCTTGCCTCGAACTCTCCTGAGGTGGCTCTCCAGGCAAGGGTGAGGGAGGAGGAGGAGGAGGAGGAGAAGGAGGAGGAGAAGGAGGAGGAAGAGGAGGAGGAGGGGAGTGGAGAGCAGTCTTCCATCAGTGATAACGGTCATCTCGAGGCCAGTAAGTCCACTCAATTCCCTAAACTCGCCTTTCTCTCCGCGTTGCTTAGCGCGATCCTCCGATCTCCGGCGAGGCTCAATCTATTTATCTATATATCTATCGTACGGCGTCGCCCGGTCGACCATTTCGTTCGGATCGAAATTCGCTATCTCTCCCGCTGGTAACGGCAGAAACGAATTCCCGTAATCCCGTCAGACATTCTCCGTCGGGCCGTTATTTAAAGCCATCCAACGGACATTCGATGAGCGAAGTTATCAGCCACGAAATGACATCGGTTGCTCTTGTTTCGAAGGTTATCGGGAAATGCTGACTGCTCCGTTCCATTCGGCCGCGCGAAAATGTGTTGTTTAATTATTTGAAAATTAAATACGCTACTTTTATATATATGTATGGTCCGACACACGCGCAAGCCCGCTATTGAGCGCTGCGTTCTCTCTCTCTCTCTCTCTCTCTCTCTTTGCCCCTGTGGGAAAATTCAGCGAGCGGGATGCAAATTAATCGCCGCACGCCATAGAAAAGGGCTTAATCGAAAGTCATCGCTATCCGTTCTCCGCGGAAGGATATTAATGCGGAATGATGAGGTTCGTGCGATTGCAATGGCAATTAATTCCCGAAATTCAGCGCTCTGCAATGGCGCTCTTGCGAAAATTCAATGTACCGCCGCCGAGTGTACGCGAGATGGCTCGAAAAAATCCCCGCCGGAAAATTCCCCGCGCTCGACTCTCAGCTCGCAGGGGCGCGCAATTTTTCGCCAATGTCATTTCGCATCGATCGATTGTGACGCATCTCTCCTCGGCACCCTGTATGTCACTAAATGCATGGTGCTTTCTGCTCGCGACACGCATTTCGCACCGTCATACGGGTTCCCGGGGCGATTTCCAATCTGTGATCAAGCGTCGGTCCATTTGCAACTTGATGGAGGTATTCTGGATTCAAATTGGCGTGTTGTTTCGTCCGGGCGATCCGTCCTTTTTCCCGCGCGCGAATTTTTCGACGTCGCGGGAATGCGCGATTATAAAAATCCTCCCCACGTTGAATATTCGCGAAATACGCTCGCGAGGGCAGATGAATTCATTATAGGTTTCTGATAATTATGCCGCATGCGGATATAATTATCGTCGTGACACGGTTACTGATCGAATCACTCGTTATTTCGCCGGCAGTCCGAGGAAATAGTCGGCGAAATAATTATTACAAAAATATCAAATCCGTCAGGATAGGGCAGACGCGTATCTTGAATGTATGGCTAAAGATATATCGGGGATAAATGCAATAACTTATTAAATACATCGCCACTCACATTCCATCCACACTGAGAGAAAAGTATATGATATTTGGAACTATAATGATATAATAACTAAATTATAGTCCGAAATATCATATTTATAGTAAGTATCACCATAACATCATATAATATTTTCACTAAGTATTATAGTAAGTTAAACTAAAATTATTGTATGGATACAAATGTAAAATGGTAGGTAAAGTAAGTCTTTTATATAATCAATATTACCAGAATATTTGCTAAATGATGGCAGATGTAACTATATGAATGTTAAATCTCACTATATTTGTGAATGAAAAATTACCATATATGTGGTAAAAGTAACTAAACAATTATTTAAGACAATCATTGACTATATATTTGTGTTTACTCTACTATATTTTGCAGGTTCCACCAACTATAAAAATATGCAAGACGCCAAAATGAACTATAAAATATAGTGAGATTATAGTTAATTCAACTATATTTTCCCATCAGTGCAGGTCATTATTTTAAAAAAGCTTTCCACACGAAAGTTTTCATACTTCCTCAGGCAAACCTCGTAATCCGACAGACGCGAGATTTCTCACATCCTTCGGGAGCCTTTCTTCTAATTCGGAGCAGTCTTCGATCAATCTTGATCGACATGAGACGCTCGAGACGCACTTTCAACCTCGTCCGAGAGCGCCTCGCCGGCCCCTCGCATCTAATTTCAACCTCGGATAAACAACTTGGCCGCGCGACGACATATCGCGCGTACTTAGATCGCGACACCGCGTACGTAACTCGGCCATGAATCACGGACTTTTAATTACCCGGCGCGTGCATTTTAAGCGGCCGCATTATGCGTCCGTGACACGCGTGAGAGAGGGCACATTCTCGCGTGCAATAACCCGCGCGCGCGCGCGCGAGATCGATCGGCGATCCGCGCGCTCCGAGATCTATCGCGGGGTGCGGGGCGAAATTCGGCAAGGAACGAGCAGATTAATCGGGCCGATGGCGCGATAGCCCGAGCGACGCCGAGATCCTCGCCGGGGAAATTAAAACTTTCGGCGAGGACCTCCGCCGTTATCGGCCCCCGACTTCCTGTCGGGAGCGCGCAAGCACGCACGCGCGTGCATCGAATCGCCGTCGTTCACGCGATCAGCTTTTCCTCGAGCCAGGGTCGTTACGAGACCTCCGCCAGCCCTCTGTGAAGCCCCTCCTCGACCGCGGCGCTTTTATCCCGCTGCTTAATCGAAACTACACTATCGAGATTCGAGAGTGCAGCGTGCACTTCAATTGCAATCTCGCACGAAGCATCGTCGCTCGACGGAGTCGAAGAAGGAGGAGGACGAGGGGGAGGAAGAGGAGGAGGAGGAGGAGGAGGAGTGCATCACGTCAAGTTCGACGCTCCCTCCGAGGAAGACGGATCTCACGGAGCGAGCGGCGCTTCCGCCGAACTGCGAGAAATAATCAGGACGAAGCAACGTAGCGCGTCTTCTTATTTTCTCGGAACGCGCAAGTTCCGTCGCCGCGTCGTTGCTCGCGAGGACTTTTTACGCCCGGCACCCCCCCCTGCGCACCCGGGACCTTCAATTTCCCCGGTGCGCTTGCGAAAAGACCCGTCCGAGATTCGCTTACCTTGACGCGCAGCAGGTGCTGCAGACTCTGCGCCTGGCTGCTATTTAAAGGTGGATTGTCGGTCCCGAGTCGCGCCACTGCAATCACGTTTTCTCGGGTCGCGTTGTACAGGAAGAGCGTGCATACTGTCTGCAAATGGCGAAAAAGACGTGGCTTGATATCAGGGTGGATACGTGGACTAGAGACCGAGACTAACGGAGAAAGAGGAGGAGGGAGGGAGGGAGGGAGGGAGATAGGTAGACGCGTCGCTGCTCGTCGCGCCGCGCCGCACCGCGCTGCGTCGGCCGGCCTTATTAAATTCCGCGCGGCCCGATTTACTTTTTAATCGGCAGCCGCGCGGTTTGACGAGCCATTACGTTTCTCTCATTGACGTTTCTCATTATCGGGACTTCGCGCGCTCGCTGATCGCCGCCCGAGACGCTGCGCATTAATTGCATTCTGGGAATGTCCCGGGACGCCCCCGTCGGCCCCCTCCCGTAATGAACGAACGAACGAACAAACGCCCGCGCCGCGCGCAAGCGAGTAACGGCGGGATGTAATAAATCCCGGAATAATCGTGATTTTAGTCTGTTTGCAGGGTCGACGGGCGGCGGCGGCGGCGGCGGCGGCGGCGGCGGCGGCGGCGGCGGTTTTCCGAAATAGTCTCCCAAACTCTGCATTCGCATAGACTTCTCTCCGGCGACGATCTGACGCGCACATGTCCCGTGTGGTTAGTCGGTTACACGGAGGCGGAGAGACGTTATTCCGCCGGTATTAACGGTTAATAGGTATAACGGCGTGCGGCGTGGCGGCGACGCGGCTCTCTCACCTGATTATTGACTTCCTGTTTCATGAAATTGTCGAGAGACGACACCGCGTCCAGCACGGTCAGGTTGTTGTGTTGCTTCAACAGGGTCTCGTCCTTCTCGCTATAGCCCAGGAACATGAAGACTCCGTGCGGTATACTGTACGTATCTGCGCGAATGAGAGAGATTACCGGTGAGAACGGCGAGAACGGCTCTCGCCATTCGCTAAGTGGTTGAGTTCAGCAGGGAAGAGGGAGGGAACGAGGGAAGGATCTCGTTTTAAGTGTGCAAGTGGAGCAAGTCGCGGTCTTAATTTTCAATAGATTATCCGAGACGCTTTTCCTCTATTAATCAGGGTCGACCTGGATATTCGAACATCCGTCTGTGATTATTCAACGTTTTCGTTCTGTCACTTATTAAATACTCGGTCCACCTTCTCGAGAATCTGCCTTTAGCTCTCTGCCAGACTGCGTTGTCTCCAAATTTACTACGTCTCCGCGAATGAAGATACTGTCCGATATCTTGAAAACGGGATCACAGACATATTGAATAGTTGGAATGCTCTGAGATGTGAAAAACGAGTTTTAGCCCGGCTTTAGAATTGAAGATAAAAATCCTCTTGGATTATTTTCATCGCGCCATTATTCTCCGTCCAAGCGATACCGCATTTAACCAGAACGATCTACATACATTCAATATTTCAATTATTCTCATTAAATTCCATGTTAATGGAGAAATATTAATGTGCGTATAATATGTAAAATTAATTATAACGCTTGAATAGACGCATGACAATAAGTTGGCAGATATACGCGCGGCGTTTGCATAATTCGTCGAATTTCGGCAAAAGTGCAAATCGACTTTTGTTTTTCTAGCGATAACAATTATGATGAGGATGACCTCGCTCACCGGGCGCAGGCCGCATGCATATGAAGCCGCCGCTGTAGCAAAGGCAAGGACCTCGATGGGCTTGATAGGCCGGCGCCTCGTGGTTGTAAAAGGCGAAGTCCGTCTTACACGGCGACATATCGACGCAGATGGTGTGACAGATGAGCGATAACGACGACTCCTCGCACTGGCAGAGCTCTGAGCACTCGGGCTCCTCCTCGCGGTACAGCTGCGCAGGTGTAACACGTTGCAATTGATGGCTTCGCCGTCATCAGCGTCGCGTCTCGAAAAGCGCCCGACGCAAACGCGATCATCGCCAGTCGCGCAGTCGCGGCTTACTTGCGTTCGATCTTTCCTGCGCGAATCTCGCCGTTTGCTTGTTATTCTCGAGCGCAAGTAATATGGAACTCAAGCCGGACTCAAGTCCACACATATTCGATATTTCGATTATTCCGCACTGAGAGAAAAGTATATGATATTTGGAGCTATAATGATATAGTAACTAAATTATAGTCCGAAATATCATATTTATAGTAAGTATTACCATAATATCGATAATAATTACGATATAGGCATAGTATAATCAACCATATAATATTTTACTAAGAATTATAGTAAGTTAAACTAAATTTATTGTATGGATTCAAATATAAAATGGCAGGTAAAAGTAACTCTTTTATAATCTTTTAAATAGTTAAACTCTTTTATATAGTCAATATTACCAGAATACTTGCTAAATGATGACAGATGTAACTTAATATGAATATTAAATCTCACTGTATCTGTGAATGTTAGAAATTACCATATATGTGGTAAAAGTAACTAAACAATTATTTAACTATAAAATATAGTGAGATTATAGTTAATTCAACTATATTTTTCTATCAGTGCGCTTAAATTTCATATTATCAACGTTAACACACGTTTTGATACACGCGCGAACCAATTACAGCGTTCAGCCGAGTGACGTGTAATCTCGTCGATTTGTAAATCGAATTCCAAGAGAATTACGCGCAACGTGTGCTTTACGCGTCATGCAACAAGCGTCACGCGATCTCTCCTCCTTGTCCACCCTCTCGAGACTCAGCATCGTCGATGTTCCGGCGACAAATTAACGGTGATGAGAGAGACTATACGTACAACGCGATAACACTTTTCTCGTCGGCGACAGTCTCTCAGTCTGCACGTGATGAAAAGCCGGAGAGACCCGCTGTCGACGACGACAACGAGGATGACGGAAGAGACAGAGACGCCGACGCGTCCGAAAAGAAATCGCGATCGATCCGCCCTCTCTCGCGCCCCTTTATGGTAAAATCCGTTAGTGTGCAGCAAATATCCGCTTTCCGCTGGCATCCTCGCGCCTACCCTCTCATACGAGACGCCCGCAAAATCCTCGCCCTTCCTTTCTGTCTCGCGAGCTCTGTCGACTCTCTCTCTCTCTCTCTCTCTCTCTCTCTCTCTAGAGAAGAGAAGAAAGAAAAAGAGAGAGAGGAGGAGAGAGAGAGAGAGAGAGAGAGAGCAGCGTGGCGCGGCGACGGGCGCTTTGCGTCGCGACGACGATCGCGAGAGACTCGGGAGATTGCAAGCGACTCACCCTTTTGGCCTTGCCCTCTCTTATGTATTGGGGACTCTGCCTCGGCTTTTGAACCGCGCAGAAGCCTGCAAACAGAGTGACGTGAGAGGCTGCCTTTCCCGCCAGATTGTTTCTCCGGCCCTTTATCAAGCCCCTTTTCCACCGTATCGCAAGCCCGGAGGCGATCTACCTAATTTGCCTCTCGATGCCGCAGACGAAAGAGATTAAAAATTCTCCTTAACAACCAAGAAAAGAAGGGGAAGGGGGGGGTGGGGGGGGGGGGAAATGGGGGGGGGGCACTTTCGGCCGTCAATCCCAGCGGGTCCCCGGCGGTCCTTTTTTCGAAAAAAAAAAAAAGCCGCCGACCGCCCCCTAAACAAAAACGCCGATTCAAAATCGGCCCCAAGTCCCGCGCCAGTTCGCCCGTCGGCGGCTTTAAACTTGCGTTCCGATCTTTCCTGCGCGAAATCTCGCCGTTTGCTTGTTATTCTCGAGCGCAAGTAATATGGAACTCAAGCCGGACTCAAGTCCACACATATTCGATATTTCGATTATTCCGCACTGAGAGAAAAGTATATGATATTTGGAGCTATAATTGATAAGTAACTAAATTATAGTCCGAAATATCATATTTATAGTAAGTATTACCATAATATCGATAATAATTACGATATAGGCATAGTATAATCAACCATATAATTTTTACTAAGAATTATAGTAAGTAAATACTAATTTATTATGGATCAATATAAAATGGCAGGTAAAAGTACCTCTTTTATAATCTTTTAAATAGTTAAACTCTTTTATATGTCAATATTACCAGAATACTTGCTAAATGATGACAGATGTAACTTAATATGAATATTAAATCTCACTGTATCTGTGATGTTAGAAATTACATATATGTGGTAAAAGTAACTAAACAATTATTTAACTATAAAATATAGTGAGATTATAGTTAATTCAACTATATTTTTCTATCAGTGCGCTTAAATTTCATATTATCAACGTTAACACACGTTTTGATACACGCGCGAACCAATTACAGCGTTCAGCCGAGTGACGTGTAATCTCGTCGATTTGTAAATCGAATTCCAAGAGAATTACGCGCAACGTGTGCTTTACGCGTCATGCAACAAGCGTACGCGATCTCTCCTCCTTGTCCACCCTCTCGAGACTCAGCATCGTCGATGTTCCGGCGACAAATTAACGGTGATGAGAGAGACTATACGTACAACGCGATAAACACTTTTCTCGTCGGCGACAGTCTCTCAGTCTGCACGTGATGAAAAGCCGGAGAGACCCGCTTGTCGACGACGACAACGAGGATGACGGAAGAGACAGAGACGCCGACGCGTCCGAAAAGAAATCGCGATCGATCCGCCCTCTCTCGCGCCCCTTTATGGTAAAATCCGTTAGTGTGCAGCAAATATCCGCTTTCCGCTGGCATCCTCGCGCCTACCCTCTCATACGAGACGCCCGCAAAATCCTCGCCCTTCCTTTCTGTCTCGCGAGCTCTGTCGACTCTCTCTCTTCTCTCTCTCTCTCTCTTCTCTCTAGAGAGAGAGAGAGAGAGAGAGAGAGAGAGAGAGAGAGGAGAGAGAAGAGAGAGAGAGAGAGAGAGAGAGAGAGAGAGAGAGAGAGAGAGAGAGCAGCGTGGCGCGGCGACGGGCGCTTTGCGTCGCGACGACGATCGCGAGAGACTCGGGAGATTGCAAGCGACTCACCCTTTTGGCCTTGCCCTCTCTTATGTATTGGGGACTCTGCCTCGGCTTTTGC